CTCCCCCCACCGGGTCCCACTCCCGCCAGGCTGAATGGAGAGGAAGGGGGTTAAATCCTTACCTTTCTCCAGCGCTGGGCTCCCTTGGCGCTGGGAACTCTCCTCCTCCTTTGGCAGTCATCGGCTGAATGTGCATATGTGGCAAGAGCCGCGCACGCATTCAGCCAGTCCATAGGAAAGCATTCTTAATGCTTTCCTACGGAGGCCGGCGTCTTCTCACTGTGAAAAGCACGTCTAGCGGCTGTCAATGAGTTTCACTGAAACTATGTTTACAGCAGGCAGGATTAAACCTATATGGACCTGGCACCCAGACCACTTTATTGAGCTGAAGTGGTCTGGGTGCCTATAGTAGTCCTTTAACCTAAAGGAATAACAGCTCAAATAAATTTAAACCTTTCCTGGTGCAGACAGAAGAGAAATAACCTTTGTGTAAATGTGATAAGGTGGGGGGAAACCCAAGCTCGCTAAACTTTTAAAGAAGATCATAAAAATTCTAAAAGACCTGAATAAATCAGGTAAAGACAAAGCCAGAGGCTGGAAGGATAAAGACAAAGGCAGAGGCTGGAAGGATTCCTACAGTATTGTAGGGCCAAGGCTCAAAAAGAACACTATGGAACCTACACTATTATGGACTAATAAAACAAAAAAATACAGAAGATTATCAAGATTTAGAAATAAGTGCCAGATTTAGAAATTCATTGAACCCCCTCCCAAAAAAAACAAAAAAAAATTGCCTTTTACATTGGCTGTCATGAGTGAAGGAGAAAATCTAACCCGAGAAGGGAATCTGAACTACTGGGTTGTTTGTAAAGAATGTAAATTAAACAGAAGCAAAATAACCGCAACAATCCCGATAAGGAAAATGCACGAGTTTTAAAAAAAGTCAACATAAAGATAAGATGATTAAGGACAGGAAAGCAAATTACGCCACTTGTCCCAATTTAAAGGACGTGCAACAGGAGATAATGATATCAACATTAATGTGACAAGACCAGCTACCGTTAGCAGAGCCAATTGTGTTTATGTACAGTTCAACCCATCCATTTAATACTTTATGGCGACAAGCGACGGATTGGGACTTGGCAAGACTGAACCTCGTGTTACCTTCGGCTCGGGTTCCGGATCCTCAAGTTTTCTTTTCTGTGCAGCTTTGGGTTCCTGCTGCTCTTGGACATCAGTCATCTCCTGGTCCGTGCCGTTTGCCTCCTCCTCCTTAACCTCGTCCTTCGTGGCCTTGGTCAACACCAAGCGTGGTTTGTCAACCCATTCGTTTTGGCGGCGGTTCACTGCAGAAAAAGCGAGCTTACAACACAATTCCACAGCAAACCAGGAAGGGAAGGGGAAAATGGAATTCATCAGCTCCAACCAGAGTCTGTAACTTACCGTGATGGACCGTGCAAGGTCACTGGATGGAGGCAGACGCAAAATGACAGATAGCGCCGGACTTTGCTATGATTGTTCTGTATGTCGGACGTGATAAATTAAGGGTCACCTTATTACCGCTGTTAACCAACAAGCGGACTTGTACTACAGAAAAGTAGTACAAAACAATAAAACCTGTGCATATTAGCAGGAATGGAAGATCCAATGGTTAAAATGTTCTAGCAAGAGTGAAGGGTAATAACTATCTGAATAATTAAAGGGACACCAAAGCCTTTAACACAAACCCTTTATTACATTGGTATTACACGAACAGAAAGTTAGTGATAGTACCAGTGTATTTTGGGTTTATTTTCAATTTATGAAAAAACAGGCCTAACCCAGTATAAACTGGGATAAAGCTCACTACTTGACTAACACAAGAAAGTGCAACTAAAAAGGAAAATCTTACTTTGAGGAAGCATGTGAATTCCGAATCTATTTAATACAATATGCAGGGAATTCTGCATTACTTAGTGGTAAGCACAACCAAATTGTTGCATTTTAGAGAGCAATATGTCTCAATGACAAGCTTCAGAAATAAATAGCTTGAGATTTGCCCAAAGCTTCCAGAAAGTAATAAAGCTTTACTGACCCTTTAAAAATGCAGGCTAGTGTGAACTTCTCTTTAGCAAGTTTAATAATGGAAGTAATCCAATGGTATCAGGAACATGTTTCCAGAGCAGGTTTTTAGGATATTTATAGTACTTTGTAATTTACACCTATGACCACCAGGGTCAAATAAGGGGTTGCTATCAGGAACATATCTGGCACTGTTCGGGGATCAGTGCCAGGTTTTCCTCCCGGATTAAATCTGGTATTTTTGACAGTCAGCACAAGACTCCCAAATTACTATGGGTAGATGTATATCACTTCTTAGTATGTACTAATGTGCTGCCCCCATCCAAAGGAATTTACATCATTTTATGAAATTCCTCTGAAAGTCGACTGGTTACAAGGACAGCCCAACATATGCAGAGTAGGGCTAATCAGTAACTCAGAACTGACTTAGGTGGAAACTGACTATTTCTCCTTAATGTGAGTGTAAATAAATGGATTGCCTGGTGACTCCATCCACTGTGGTGCTTCAGAGGACATGCAAAGTATTGGTAAATCTTCATGGCACTGTTTTTCAGTACCAGAAGCATCCACTAACACAGTGTAAGCAACTCCACAGGTTGAACAGCATACACAAGGATGAAAAGACCCCCATGCATATGCTAAGAAACAATTGGATATAAAAAAAAAAGCTTCAAAACAAATCACGCGCCGCCCACAGGTTTCAAATTTGAAATCATTGTGTAATATTGCAGACTGTGTTAGTATTTTACAAATTTACAACACTGACTATAACCACAAGCTTATGTCCGCATTGGCAGTCCTTGCAGCATAACAGTGGATAAAGGGCAATCTTGGAAATTTAAGGAACAACTTTAGAGTGATAAACAGTTTGGATTATAAAATAGTGGCACTCGAGCAAGACTTCATCCGAAGACAGTTTTGCTGCAGAACCTCTGCTGCCATTAAGCAACTCACAGGAGATATGAAGCAGTTTCAGAGAAAGAAGATTATCTTAAAACGATATATAAAAAAATCTAACTCCCATAAATTGCACTGTGCAACCCCTTTGAAGGCAGTTGAAATGCTGCTAGAGGCAGCGTTAAACCTTCATGTAGTTAAGTGTACACGCACTTTTCATGAAGCCTTATTAGCGGAAAATTGCTCAGACCCATAGACGGAAGCTCTTAACAGGATCCTGAGGTTTGCACATGAAGCGAACAACTTACAGCCCACATAATGCACGTAAAACTCCTCTCGACCAGCCTGCTTGTTCATGCGAGTCTTGACGACCTCGGCATCATCTGCAGAGAGAGATTGTAACTGGCTCACAGATGGGAAAAATCACAGACATTACTCTGACATACATGTATCTAATCAGTTTTTCATGGGACTGGCATTGATATAACAGTTTACAACAATCATATGGCTCAAAAACTGCTAATGGAAGCCATATTGTGTGCAATCCCTTTACACCCCCCACTATAAACCAATGCAGGCCAGCAATGCATGATGGGAGTCTAAACTGGGCCCTGAACACAGCGCCCCCTGTGGGCCAGGTCCTCTCATCTCACCCACCGCCATTACACCCCCTCCCCCCACATCTACCTCCCCCACCCACCGCCATTACACCCCCTCCCCCATATCACCTCCCACCCACCGCCATTACACCCCCCCCCATATCTACCTCGCACCCACCGCCATTACACCCCCACATCTACCTCGCCCGCCCACCGCCATGCACATCTTACGCGGGCTATCTCCCCCCGCAGGGGGCGCTGGTCATCCCCACTCACACTCACGCAGGCCTCACGCAGGGCGCTCGGTCCCCCACTCACACTCACGCAGGGCGCTCGGTCTCCCCCCACTCACGCAGGGCGCTCGGTAACCCCACATCTCGCAGGGCGCTCGGTAACCCCACTCACGCAGGGCGCTCGAACCCCACTCACTCACGCAGGGCGCTCTGTAACCCCACTCAATCCCACTCACGCAGGGCGCTCGGTAACCCCCACTCACGCAGGGCGCTCGGCAACCCCCCACTCACGCAGGGCGCTCGGTACCCCCCACTCACCCTCACGCAGGGCGCCTCACCTCACGCAGGGCCTGGTAACCCCACTCACACTCACGCAGGGCGCTCGGTCCCCCATCATACCCCACGCAGGGCGCTCAGTCCCCCACTCATACTCACGCAGGGCGCTCGTTCCCCACTCATACTCACGCAGGCGCTCTCCACCCCACAGGGCGCTCAGTAACCATACTCACGCAGGGCGCTCGTAACCCCACTCACTCACGCAGGGCGCTCGGTAACCCCCACTCACGCAGGGCGCTCGGTAACCCCCACTCACGCAGGGCGCTCGGTAACCCCCACTCACACTCACGCAGGACGCTGGTTATCCCCCACTCATACTCACGCAGGGCGCTGGTTATCCCCCACTCACCCTCACGCAGGGCGCTCGGTAACCCCCACTCACGCAGGGCGCTCGGTAACCCCACTCACACTCACGCAGGGCGCCGATTATCCCCCACTCATACTCACGCAGGGTGCCGTCCGCCCTCTTGCAGGGGTAGGTGCTCCCGATGTTCACCACCAGCTCTTCCTCCTCCTCCTCGTCGCCATCTCCCCCGTCCGCTCCGTCTTCGCCATTATCGTCTTCGTCCTCCTCCTCCCCGACCTCCTCGGGGTTGCTGTCGGCCTCGTCGCCGGCCAGGGTGTCGTTCTTGTCGTTGGTGGTGGCGGCTGCGGTGGATGACGCTACGGAGGCCATGTCACAGAGAGCGAGCTGCACAGACACTGACTGAGCACAAAATGGCGCCCGAGAAACCGCGCGTGCAGCGACAATACCCGGGGGGCGGGGCCTGGGCCGGACCTGGGCGGGGCGAGCTGCGGGATAAACACTAGAGACACTGCACCCGATCCCGCAAGGCAGCTCACAGCGTGGCAATACTAGGCCGCAATTACTGACTCTAGTGATTAGAACTCTACCACCAATAGTGACCGCCCCGGGCAGTGGGAGGGGCTACAGCCTCTATAGCGGAAACCCCGCCCACACAGCAACTGCTTTCATTTCTATTGTTCTCACTGTTACAGTTCAAATCCATCATTCACCTCACACAGCCATCACTCCCAGCCAGCCTATCATTCACCTCACACAGCCATCACTCCCAGCCAGCCCAGCCTTCACCTCACACAGCCATCACTCTCAGCCAGCCCAGCATTCACCTCACACAGCCATCACTCTCAGCCAGCCTATCATTCACCTCACACAGCCATCACTCTCAGCCAGCCTATCATTCACCTCACACAGCCATCACTCTCAGCCAGGCCAGCATTCACCTCACACAGCCATCACTCCCAGCCAGCCCATCATTCACCTCACACAGCCATCACTCTCAGCCAGCCCAGCATTCACCTCACACAGCCATCACCCTCAGCCAGCCTATCATTCACCTCACACAGCCATCACTCCCAGCCAGCCCAGCATTCACCTCACACAGCCATCACTCCCAGCCAGCCCATTATTCACCTCACACAGCCATCACTCTCAGCCAGCCCAGCATTCACCTCACACAGCCATCACTCCCAGCCAGCCTATCATTCACCTCACACAGCCATCACTCTCAGCCAGCCTATCATTCACCTCACACAGCCATCACTTATCATTCACCTCACACAGCCATCACTCTCAGCCAGCTGGCTTGCGCATTCACCTCACACAGCCATCACTACCAGCCAGCCTATCATTCACCTCACACAGCCATCACTCCCAGCCAGCCCAGCATTCACCTCACACAGCCATCACTCCCAGCCAGCCCATTATTCACCTCACACAGCCATCACTCTCAGCCAGCCCAGCATTCACCTCACACAGCCATCACTCCCAGCCAGCCTATCATTCACCTCACACAGCCATCACTCTCAGCCAGCCCAGCATTCACCTCACACAGCCATCACTCTCAGCCAGCCCAGCATTCACCTCACACAGCCATCACTCCCAGCCAGCCCAGCATTCACCTCACACAGCCATCACTCCCAGCCAGCCCATTATTCACCTCACACAGCCATCACTCTCAGCCAGCCCAGCATTCACCTCACACAGCCATCACTCCCAGCCAGCCTATCATTCACCTCACACAGCCATCACTCTCAGCCAGCCTATCATTCACCTCACACAGCCATCACTCTCAGCCAGCCCAGCATTCACCTCACACAGCCATCACTCCCAGCCAGCCCATCATTCACCTCACACAGCCATCACTCTCAGCCAGCCCAGCATTCACCTCACACAGCCATCACTCCCAGCCAGCCTATCATTCACCTCACACAGCCATCACTCTCAGCCAGCTCATACCTCACATAGCCATCACTTCAGCCAAAGTCGAAAGTATCTACCTCACACAGCCATCACTCCTGTGCCAGCCCATCATTCACCTCACACAGCCATCACTCTCAGCCAGCCCAGCATTCACCTCACACAGCCAGCCTATCATTCACCACAGCCATCACTCCCGCCAGCCCAGCATTCACCTCACACAGCCATCACTCTCAGCCAGGCCTGCATTCACCTCACACAGCCATCACTCTCAGCCAGCCCAGCATTCACCTCACACAGCCATCACTCTCAGCCAGCCTATCATTCACCTCACACAGCCATCACTCTCAGCCAGCCTATCATTCACCTCACACAGCCATCACTCTCAGCCAGGCCAGCATTCACCTCACACAGCCATCACTCCCAGCCAGCCCATCATTCACCTCACACAGCCATCACTCTCAGCCAGCCCAGCATTCACCTCACACAGCCATCACCCTCAGCCAGCCTATCATTCACCTCACACAGCCATCACTCCCAGCCAGCCCAGCATTCACCTCACACAGCCATCACTCCCAGCCAGCCCATTATTCACCTCACACAGCCATCACTCTCAGCCAGCCCAGCATTCACCTCACACAGCCATCACTCCCAGCCAGCCTATCATTCACCTCACACAGCCATCAGCTAAGTAACACTGATTTTCTCGCTGTCATACTGTTCCTGTATTTGTTATTGTTTGGTTGTTTAATTGATGGTATTTCAGTTACAACTTTGTGTTTTCGGTTTTCCTGTAATTGAAGCAGAGCCCTCTCTTCTTGAGCCCTCCGTTTTTTGTTTTTTTTTGTTCTTTCCTCTATTTCGGGTAGTTTATTTCCCGTGGTTGACACGGCCTCGGCGACCCCGTTGCCCGGGGTCTCCCTCTGGCCTCAGGGCACATCTCAGTTTGCGGCTGCGCATCGCGGTGGAAATCTTGCGTGTGGCAATGAGTTAGCCGCGCTTTTCCCCTGCTCGTTTTGGGGTGAGCTGATTGGCTGCCTTTGTTGCTGGGCAGCTTGCCAGTGCTCTCCTGATGCTATTTCTGAGGAGCAGTCGGTAAGCTGACAGTGATTTTGGTGTGCTTTGTCCTAGTGTGCCTCCTTTCCTCCTTTCTGTGTAACACAGGATACCTGTGTTGCCCCATATTTGGTCATTAGGCAGACCCCTAAGGAGTTGGGAATTAATGCCCCTAATACTGCTGAGAGTGCCACTAGACAAGGAATGACCCATGTCCCTAGACCCCCAACCCATCCAGGGGAGGACATAGCCTCCATGGAGCAGATGAACTCGGAGGAGTTCCACTCGCTCCTGGACGCTACAATGACCAAATCAGTCACCCAGGCCATTTTTACTGCAATGGGGGCGATGTCGGACAATTTGTCCCACCCCATTTATAATGCTATTCTGGCGTCTAGTCACGTCCCTGGCTCGGCACGCCCTAAGGCCTCTGTTGATAAGCCAGTGGTTCCTAGCGGCTGTAAGGCTACTGAGAAGACCCACTATGTGGGTAGAGCATGCCTCCAAAACTGGATTGACGGACAGGTTGCGTCCTATTACTATTGAGGACGTGGGGCCCCCCACGTAAAAGAGTCACCCACCAGGCAACAGCGGTGCAGACATGGAAGAGGGCAAAAGCCCTGACAGATTCTTCCGACTCTGGTTCAGCTTCTGACGAGGTCTCGGATGATTCCGATGGGATTGGCTCTATTGATTCGGGTAACTCGTCTCCGGACTGCCATCTTTGAACCACAGGGAAAACCCCTTTTTGACCCCGATGCCCTGCAAAACTCTAGATCGGCCAAATGGTACCCGACCGATCACGTGGCCCAGTATATCGCGGCTAGGATTAGGAAGCCCCTAGACAAGGCCACGAGGAATAAGCTTTGGGCAGAGTGCCCACGTCCTACGCTCCCCGAGATAGCCTGTGCCACACCATACGTAGACCCTAAGGTCGCCCAATTCGTGGGCAAATCAGGCTGGATTACTTAGCTGAAGCCACAGCAAAGAAAGAGGCTCGACTATTCCCCACATCACTGCCAAGACAAGGTGCTTGACATATTAGGCCCTAAAGCCCAAATCTTCGTCATGATCGAGGCGGCCTTAACCGACGACGCGCCAGTTTATCTCTTGGCCATCAGGGGTTGGGTCTATTTGTTTGATAGGCGACGCTAACTCCGCGTTGGCCACTGAAGGCGAAAGTCTATCCTCATGCAGATCGAGCCTAAGCTCGTTAACCTGGCAATATCTGAGCCTGGACCGCAGGCAACAGGTCTCCTATTCGGGGACAATTTTGTTAAAGAATGGGGTACCTATGTTAGTACCTTTATAGCACTGGACAAGGCACAGACAAACATAAAGAGAGTGTTCTTGGGGGGGCCGTCAGACATCGGGGCTGTCTGCCCAGTCGTTCCTACCGGGGTTACCGAGGCTCCGCCACGCCTAGATTCCAGTCTACAGAGACAAAGTACCCTTCGCCCTTCTTCCTGGTCAGGTGCGGATCGTGGCAGTCCCGAGGGACCAGGGGTACATCGTATGGCCGACTGCCTTATGGTGAGTGTTCTATCATCCCGTCCCCCTTCTATGTAATTTGTGGGGGGCAGACTGTCCCATTTTTTTCGATGCCTGGCACAGACTGACCTCCAATGTTTGGGTCCTAAACACAATCCTAGGTTATCGTATCGAGTTTGTGCAGCACCCAGTCCAAACCTTCGTGCCTAGTACACCTCAGGCGCTCTTGGATGTCTTTGGTTCCCATAGCCCCATTCTGGACTGCACAAACTGGGTTCCCTTTACTCATGGAGATGTCCATCGATCTTCCAGGATTACTGCCTAACTCAACGCACCTCTTACTGGATCCCGATGGGAACCCACAGGCACTCTAGGATGTCTTTGTTTCCCATAGCCCCATTGTGGACTGCACAACCTTGGTTCCCTTTACTCATGGAGATGTCCATCACTCTTCCCAGATTGCTGCCTGACTCAATGCACCTCTTACTGGATCCCGATGGGAACCCACATCCCCTTCTGATTTAAGTGCACCTCAGACTCTTAGCGTGGCTCCTCTCCGGGTACCCTGGGTTGTGCCAGATGTTCCACAATCAACTCTCGACTTACTGGCGGGGGACTGGGTCCCTGGAACAAGACGATCCTACGGCCATGATTGGAACACATCAAGTTGGTGGCGCGTGGTACAACAGGTGGATCCCGTATGTGCTCCTGTGAATTACCTGTTACGTTTCCTTACTGATCTGTATGATCAGGGTTTAGCCTATTGCAATATTATTGTCTGTAGATCGACAATCTCTGCTGGCCATCGTGGACTAGATGGGGCTCCGGCTGGAAAACAGCTAATGGTGTGTCGACTTCTATGGGGCATTAAATTCGCACCACCACCTCAACCTCGATACACGTCATTATGGGATGTGAATCTGGTTCTCAACCTGTTGGAAACCTGACCACGGAATGCAGAACTCACGCTTAAATAGCTGTCAGCAAAATTGGACATGCTCCTCTGTCTGATATCATGCAAACGGGTTTCAGATGTCGAAGCACTGGACATTGACGCACGCTCCTTTACCCCTACAGAAGTTTCCTTCAACATTTCCAGGCGTACCAAGTCATCGATTACTTTGGTTTCCTATCCATCGTTTCCTCACAATATTAACCTCTGCCCAGTGGCTAGTCTACAGGAAAATGAAGCATGGACTCAGGTATTCAGGAATCCAGTATATCACGAGTTGTTCTTGGCTATTAAAATGCCGCATCACCCCGTATCTACAGTGACTAGCGCGCTGGGTGAAATGGATAATGGCTTCGGCCCACATAGGTATATCCGTATATGGTACACACTCTACTAGAGGGACAAAGGCTTCAAAGGTTTTCAACTTGGGTTGTAAACTAGAAGATCTTCTTCGAACGACAGATTGGTCTCGTGAATCTACATTTAGGGAATATTACTTTTGCCCTACAGAACATGTCTCATCTATGGTCATTTTACAGCTTTGAACTAACCTAAATATGAGTCTCCGTGTCTTTTAATAAAATTACCAGATTTTACTAATTACGTGATGTAAAGTCATGATTTTATTAAGGACACTGAGGCGAATATTAGCCCACCCACTACAGGTACGTTTTAAGTTTTTTGTCCCACTCTAGATACGTGATGGGTATTGATTTTAAATGTCTGGATTGTTTTCAGTCACTACTGTGGTAACATGAATGATAGTCTGTGGGAACATAGTTTACTATTTGTTGTCTCTGTTCCTTTCAGCTTGACACTTTACGATGGCTCTCATCAGGACCGGTTTCTTCTACAGTTTCAACGGATGAGTTTCCAAGGATCCGTTCCCTCGGAAGAAGTCGCCTCCCAGACACCGGCTGTTCATCTGTCTGGTTGTGTTGCTTCAGTTAGTTTGTTTCGATTTATTTCATTGACTATTGGCTTCGACATCACCAAGAAAGAGGAGTAGATTAGGGTCACATGGGAGTATTTGCAATGTGGACTGCTCTCACTGGCCAAGATGTTATAATGTGATGGTTAACCCTCTGAGGGCATTTGTTTTGTTTTTCTTTTCTATGAATATGTTAATATCCTTTCTTTGCTGCTGAGGAATAAAAGAAAAAGATAAGCCTAATATTCGCCTTCGTGTCCTTAATGAAATCATGAGTTTACGTAATCTAATTAGTAAAATCTGGTAATTCCCTGGCATTTCAATCAAACAGTTATATGTTTGAGAGTGTTTACAGCCTGGACACCCCCGGGGTTATCAGGAGACAAGGCTTAGTTCTAATAAAGTATTGGGTGGTGCTTTATAAATAAGAAATTAACAAATTAGAATGTACTCAAGTGGAAGGAAATGTGTAGGAAAATTCAACTGCACTCCCCAGCATCCTCAGCCACAGCCTGAATGCCAATCATTGCAATATTTTGTAAGTTGTATCTACTCGGTTTTGGGCTGTTCGTATAACTCTGTCTCGAAGGAAGACGTAATACCGTGGAGGCCTAATTATTGAAGTGCGTATTGCCAGGAATTCAAAGACAATTTCCAAATGAATGCCAAAATAGCCAAACTGAAAAAAAAGACATCTATGCTTCATTCCAGTTGGGATAATGTGACGTTAAATTTGTTAGTAAATAACTATTTGCATTCACCTGAAATGAACAACAATTCACACTTCCATGAATAACCCTGCAAGTGACTACTTGAAAACAAACGATGATAACCTAGAAATCAGCACGGAAGACAGGGAAAGTCAGAGTACACTACACCGTTTTCCAACGAATGTACAAATGTTGCGAATAGCGAGGAAAGAGCCCAAGATAGAATTCCAAGGAGCCCAGCAGAGCCAAAATATGTAATTTTTTCCTGCCCGATCAGCTGAAGGGAATAGCTAACACATTAGTTAAATGCTGCCATGGTTAGCTATGAAAAACACATAAAAACATATAAATGCTGGACATGGGTATAGCAAAGAGTTGACAATTAATTTCACGCCTTACAGAACCTCTAAAATGCATGGCTGTCACAAGCCGGCTCTTGGTTCAGTTAGCGATACAAAAGAAACTGGGTCCAAGTGACGATCTTCGACAATATTCAATGTCAATACGGTAGGTGACACCCACGGACACAGTACACACAATCAATGCCAAATTTCCTGGAATTGCTCTAAGTTTCTGCTAAGTCAGCAGGAGGGGAGATAAGGTCTTACTTCCTTTGTTACACAGAGGGCAGAGAAGTAAAACCATCCCTGTAAAATTACAAAGGGCACGGGATGCTATTTTACAAAGTTAGACCAAAAGACACAAGAATTAGAGGAAAGTTAGGTTGATGTACGCTTTACACTAAACGCGTAACATGTAAGATGTGTGGCTTACCAGTTTGCTAAAAAGTTACTTGATGACGAAATTTGGAAAATCTAACATAAAAAAGCAATTGGGGGGGACTTTCAGAACTTTGCAATTTTGATGTAAATTTTGTCACTCAGTGTTGATTTCATTATTCAATTATCAATTCATCATTGTCGATTTAAAATTACCCTTGTGCAGCGAGGTAGCTGGTCCATGGCTTGGGATCCAGACTTCACATTCAGTCCTTCTCTGGCTACTAGGATGGTCTCCAGAGGACACATTCCTTTCTACCCTAGCTGGCTAGATTGCTCCTCTGTAGTGAAGATAGTCATGCTTGGAGAACCAAGGGATTTAGTTTTCTCAAGCCTATACACTGTGCTATAGCTGGTACCCAGGAACATTAGCCGAGACTGAATGTAGTGGGTCAGAGAACTGCCTTTATGGGAGACACACAGGTTTTTATTCATAACACTATACATGCATAAATACATAACATTATGTTATCCACGTTCGCCACAAGACTAGAAGCCACGATAATTGGGAGTATCTCGGTTACACAATAAAGTCCTCCAGGTGGCTGTAAGATGTACCAGGAGAGGCGCTTTATGGTGGGCAAGTCGGGAATCAACTCATAAAACAATAAAATTACATTCATACTGGGCGAAACACGGGAAATTAACCTTGCAAAGTCCAATAGGATTTTGATACTGCCACACCTGTATATCATTTTTCAGATTTTTTTTTAACAGATTGCCTTTAATAAATATATCAAATTATTTACACATTTTAGGAACAGGGTTAGCATCCCTCCTAATTTTGGTAAGTATGTCTGGTTCAGGAGCCAGCCCCACTCAGAGTACACCGTGTTCCCGGTTTGGGGTCCAATCCCACTCAGAGTACCCCATATTCCTGGTTTGGGAGCCAGCCCCACTCAGAGTACACCGTGTTCCTGGTTTGGGGGCCAGTACCACTCAGAGTACCCAGTGTTCCTGGTTTGGGGGCCAGTCCCATTTAGAGTACACCGTGTTCCTGATTTGGGGGCCAGTACCACTCAGAGTACCCAGTGTTCCTGGTTTGGGGGCCAGTCCCATTTAGAGTACCCAGCGTTCCTGGTTTGGAGGCCAGTCGCACTCCGAGTACCCTGTGTTTCTGGTTTAATGGCCATTCCCACTCAGAGTACCCAGCGTTCCTGGTTTGGGGTCAGTCCCAATCAGAGTACCCCATGTTCCCAGTTTGGGGGCCAGTCCCACTCAGGGTTCCCCTTATTCCCATTTTGGGGGCCAGTTCCCTATTCCCGGTTTGATGGCCAGTCCCACTTAGAGTACCCTGTGTTCCTGGTTTGGGGCCAGTCGCACTCCGAGTACCCTGTGTTTCTGGCTTAATGGCCATTCCCACTCAGAGTACCCAGCATTCCTGGTTTGGGGTCAGTCCCACTCAGAGTACCCCATGTTCCCAGTTTGGGGGCCAGTCCCACTCAGGGTTCCCCTTATTCCCATTTTGGGGGCCAGTTCCCTATTGCCGGTTTGATGGCCAGTCCCACTTAGAGTACCCCATGTTCTCGGTTTGGGGTCCAGTCCCACACAGAGTACCCTATATTCTTGGTTTGGGGGCCATTCCCACTCAGAGTACCCCGTGTTCCAGGTTTGGGGGCAAGTCCCACTCAGAGTACCCCATGTTCCAGGTTTGGGAGCCAGCCCCACTCAGAGTACACCGTGTTCCCGGTTTGGGGTCCAATCCCACTCAGAGTACCCCATGTTCCCGGTTTGGGGGCCAGTCCCACTCAGAGTACCCAGTGTTCCTGGTTTGGGGGCTTATCCCAGTCAGAGTACCCAGTGTTCCCGGTTTGGGGGCCAGTCCCACTCAGAGTACCCAGTATTCCTGGTTTGGGGGCCAGTCCCATTTAGAGTACCCCATGTTCCCATTTTGGGGGCCAGTCCCACTCAGGGTACCCTTATTCCCATTTTGGGGGCCAGTTCCCTATTCCCAGTTTGATGGCCAGTCCCACTTAGAGTACCCCATGTTCCCAGTTTGGGGTCCAGTCCCACACAGAGTACCCTATATTCTTGGTTTGGGGGCCAGTCCCACTCAGAGTACCCCGTGTTCCAGGTTTGGGGGCAAGTCCCACTCAGAGTACCCCGTGTTCCAGGTTTGGGAGCCAGCCCCACTCAGAGTACACCGTGTTCCCGGTTTGGGGTCCAATCCCACTCAGAGTACCCAGTGTTCCTGGTTTGGGGGCTTATCCCAGTCAGAGTACCCAGTGTTCCCGGTTTGGGGGCCAGTCCCACTCAGAGTACCCTGTGTTCCAGGTTTGGGGCCAATCCCATTTAGAGTACCCCGTGTTCCTGGTTTGGGGGCCAGTCGCACTCCGAGTACCCTGTGTTTCTGGTTTAATGGCCATTCCCACTCAGAGTACCCAGCGTTCCTGGTTTGGGGTCAGTCCCAATCAGAGTACCCCATGTTCCCAGTTTGGGGGCCAGTCCCACTCAGGGTACCCTTATTCCCATTTTGGGGGCCAGTTCCCTATTCCCGGTTTGATGGCCAGTCCCACTTAGAGTACCCCATGTTCCCGGTTTGGGGTCCAGTCCCACACAGAGTACCCTATATTCTTGGTTTGGGGGCCAGTACCACTCAGAGTACCCCGTGTTCCAGGTTTGGGGGCAAGTCCCACTCAGAGTACCCCGTGTTCCAGGTTTGGGAGCCAGCCCCACTCAGAGTACCCCGTGTTCCAGGTTTGATGGCCAGTCCCACTTAGAGTACCCCATGTTCCCGGTTTGGGGTCCAGTCCCACACAGAGTACCCTATATTCTTGGTTTGGGGGCCAGTACCACTCAGAGTACCCCGTGTTCCAGGTTTGGGGGCAAGTCCCACTCAGAGTACCCCGTGTTCCAGGTTTGGGAGCCAGCCCCACTCAGAGTACCCCGTGTTCCAGGTTTGATGGCCAGTCCCACTTAGAGTACCCCATGTTCCCGGTTTGGGGTCCAGTCCCACACAGAGTACCCTATATTCTTGGTTTGGGGGCCAGTACCACTCAGAGTACCCAGTGTTCCAGGTTTGGGGGCCAGTCCCACTCAGAGTACCCCGTGTTCCAGGTTTGGGAGCCAGCCCCACTCAGAGTACACCGTGTTCCCGGTTTGGGGTCCAATCCGACTCAGAGTACCCCATGTTCCCGGTTTGGGGGCCAGTCCCACTCAGAGTACCCAGTGTTCCTGGTTTGGGGGCTTATCCCAGTCAGAGTACCCAGTGTTCCCGGTTTGGGGGCCAGTCCCACTCAGAGTACCCAGTGTTCCTGGTTTGGGGGCCAGTCCCATTTAGAGTACCCCGTATTCTTGGTTTGGGGGCCAGTCGCACTCAGAGTACCCTATGTTTCTGGTTTAATTGCCATTCCCACTCAGAGTACCCAGGGTTCCTGGTTTGGGGTCAGTCCCACTCAGAGTACCCCATGTTCCCAGTTTGGGGGCCAGTCCCACTCAGGGTACCCTTATTCCCATTTTGGGGGCCTGTTCCCTATTCCCAGTTTGATGGCCAGTCCCACTTAGAGTACCCCATGTTCCCGGTTTGGGATCCAGTCCCACACAGAGTACCCTATATTCTTAGATTGGGGACCAGTCCCACTCAGAGTACCCCGTGTTCCAGGTTTGGGGGCCAGTCCCACTCAGAGTACCCCGTGTTCCCGGTTTGGGGGCCATCCCACTCAGAGTACCCT